ATGGAACCTTACTGACAACATGGCAGTAGTATGTAATATTCATACTGCAACCCTGTTCAATTCAAGCAGAGTTCTTGTCACTAGTGGTTCCGGATCGTCCGTGTCTCTTGCTAGTTCTGAAATATATGATGTAACAACGGGCCAATGGAGCACTACTGCAAGCGTGGCATTAGGACGTTATTATCATACTGGAACCCTGCTCAATTCGGCAACGTTCTCGTCACTGGTGGTATTCGATCGTCCATTTTTCTTGCTAGCTCTGAAATATATGATCCATCCACGGGCCAATGGAAGGCTCCTGCGAGCATGACAACAGCACGTCATTATCATACTGCAACCTGCTCAATACGGGCAAAGTTCTTGCCATTGGGGCTGCATCGCCCAGTGTTCTTGATAGTACAAGAAGATACTATCCGGGAATCTTCTGTTGTTTCTCTGTCGAGTCTTCTTTTTCTTCTCTTTGGGGTTAATGGCCAATGTTCACAAACTTCTTCTTTTCACAAACAATGGACTTCTTTTCATGAAAATTTTTCTTGGAAATCCTTTGTTATGGTGCAATCACTGGCAAGGTTTTCAAAATTTGCTTTTTATGCTTCAAAGTAGAAAAAACACTTTTTTTACAATGTTTCACTTAAACAATCTAGGTCGTTGGAAAAATTTTCAAGCCTTTTTAAGTTTGTTATATACAACCAACGATTGTGAACAAAATAACTCTATAATGACGTTGATTAGATATTCCAATAAAACATAATGAATTATTTAATAATACCATCGAAAGCTTAATTACATTTAATTATTGATTACTGAATTACTCCTAAAGTGTGCTTTTCAGGGGTCAGTCAAACACTGCAGGTCATAGCCTATACTATGTCGAAATATGGGAGGGAGGGTGGCCCCCCACAGTGGACAGAAAAAAGGGATCAGAAGCAATGCACAGAACCATATTAGCTGGTAGTTTTGATATTGTGTGCGAACGTACTAGCTGCTTGATTAATATCGTGCACACCCATTTACATAAACAAATTCTGGAATCGTGGCAACTAATTTTCACGCACAGTGTAGAAAAATATGATTTTTTAATTATATCATATTATTTTCATATGATTTATCTGATTGAAAGATAAATAACTCTTATCGGATGAATGAATAGTTGGAATAACAGAGCTTCGATTAAGTGATTTTTAACGTTGTGAAAAATTAGAAATTATAATTTTATAACTCATATTCAGATTAACGAAGATATTATTCTTCAAAAAAAGAATTTTGGATGCTTATATCGTAAGATACTCAACTGCTGATTAAATTGCTGAGTAATTAGATGTGTAAATATTTTTATTATGCGGCATATTGTTGAAGAAAGCATAAAATTTGCGTCGCAAAATAATTAGCACGACTTTCAAATGACAGAAACTTGCCTAAGAAAATTTATGGAGATATAAGTTTGAGAGCCTAAAAGTTCTATAAAATAATACATAATGAAATTTTATTTTTTAATCTTATTTCGATACATCTTTTTATGCATAAAAGTTCAGAAAAATCAAAATTTAATAATTTGGTGCTTAATAGGTTAAAAAGCTACCAAAATTTAGAAAAAAGAGAAAAAGAAAAAAAATGTTTCTGATGTGCATGAAGAAAATAAGCTTCATTTATTATTATCAATAGTTGAAGGTAAAGGTTACGATAGTCTATCTGTTGATAAACACACGCAGAACAAAATATTATAAGTGATAGGCTTTTGCCAAAACATAAATAAATCCAAATCTATACCATTAAACATGGAAAAACAATCTAAAATGCATAACAATTATACATAACGCATGGCTCGAAGCAGTTTGGTGACCTGAGTCCATCTATGTTATTAGTGTTGATTTAAAAGGCTTTTGCAGAAGTAGAGAAATACAAAGTATTTTTATGACTATTTTTAAGGCGAATGGTCAATCCAACTTGTTTTACAATATTTAGAAACAATAATTTAGAAAAGAGACATTCCTTTTCCTTTTCTAATTAAAAATCATCTCTTACTAATATCATAAAAGTTTTTATTCTGTTGATCACAAAAACTTCTTTCAATCTTTTTCTTATCCGTGATCAATCTGTATCAATAAATCATCTTAGAGAATTGGGTTTCAAATCATATTCTATGGTAAAAGTAGGTGACTTCGTCCATTCCATAAAAATACAGAATATTTTCCGGAAATATTATTTATTCCATTCTTTGTCATCTTTGTACAAACAACCTATTTATATCCATTTCTTTCTCAATGAATCTCATCTGAATTTTTTCCAATGATTAATTTACATTTGTTTTATGTTCAAAGTAGAAGTAGAAGGTATCAAAGTAGATTTTTTCAAAAACTCAGATGAGATTCAGTAAGAAAGAAATGAATTTCACTAGATTGTTTGCAAAAAAGATTGCTAAAACGATGCAAATACATTGTTTTGAAACGAATTGAGACATATTTCTCTAAACTCGAGGACAGAGCAACATCAATGACATGTCGCTCTAATTTGTCGCGGCACATGAAGTTCTCTAGGATATCGCTCTAGTGGAGGTATCGCTCTAATTTGTCCAAAGGAAAAAAGCAGTTAATTTTTCAACACTAATCAATTCTAAATAACCTTTCATGATTTAGTAAGCAAAATTATAACTTACGAATTGATTCAGATCTACGTAGAATAAAGTTATTGTCACCGGCAAAGAGGGCGAAAACAGAAAGTCGAAATCGACATCGAAATCTTTTACTGATCCTCCTCCTGTTATTCAAACGCAATCAAATGTAAGCAGTATTCAACAGCTACCTTCAAAAACGCTAGAGCAGCTCCAGAAGCGGAACCTTTTGCGGTAACGAGTCAATACTCTAAAAAAATGTGACTTCACAAAAAAGCGTCTTCTATGCGACTGCGGTAGAAACATTTTTCATGTTGCTTCAGTAGTCAAATAATGTATAAAGCGATTACTTGACGTATATTTGACATCTCTGTTTAGTGTAGTGGTACTGTGGGTATTTCTAGCATAGCAGGCGGACACCAAAAGGTTTGCGGGTAAATTGTTCGTTTTATGCATCACTAAAATTCCCTAACCATCGTTAAACGTAGACAACATAAAATGAACAATTTAAAAAAAATTGTTTTGACAAATTGGCTTCTGAAGTCCAACGCAAAACATTTCGATAAGTATTTTCCTACTCAACACTTAACGTATTGCATATGTTTTGATGCAATTTGATTAGCTGATTCCGAATATTTCGTTTTAACTGGAAAAAGAAGTGGCAACCAAGGATTTTTAGAAAACTTATACTGGGACCTCGGAAAAACGGTGCTAATCGTCACTACTTTTTAATAGGAGAATATTTGGAGAAAATTTGAGCTCCTCTGGACTTTCGAAAAACTTCGGAAACTCATTATACTGAACGAATGTTTTTAACAAAATTTTTTAGCATAGTAGCATAGTACATATTTTTTTCTTTCTGAGTTTAAGTTCAATCCAGATAATCTTTACGTTAATAGATTGCTCAAATAGTAGTGAGTTATTACTGCCCCTGTTTATGGTACTTACATTCGTTTACCATTCCCAAATAACTTCACATGTATTGATATTCTCAATTTTGAGCAAATGTTTTCGTCTATGCTATGCTATACACTATAAAAAAATGTGTACGAAATTGATATTCGAAAAAATAAATGAACTGCACGCGTTTTTCTCCGTTGGAAATGTCTCCATGTGGCACGTGATAGGTCACATTATTCTGACACATTTCGGTGCACAATTTCTTTTACAGTGTACAGATGATTCATAGATGGATGCTGTAACTGTTGTTAACCTTCCGTTATGTTTATCTGATTGAAAGATAAATAACTCTTAAACGTCAGTCATTCATAACAATCCGTTTTTACGCATCGAAAATGCGGCTGCGAACCGTGATGAGAATATGTGCCTAGATTCTATGTTGACGTTTAAGAGTTATTTATCTTTCAATCAGATAAACATAACGGAAGGTTAACAACAGTTACAGCATCCATCTATGAATCATCTGTATACTCATCATTGAATAAAAATAGTTGCAGAAACGATAAACATAGATAATTTGTCAAATTATGGTGATCATCGGTTTCACAATATAAAGACATCCTAAGGACAAGAATTAAAATGGGCGAAGCATGTATGCACTTTATGTAGAAAAATATCTGAGAAAAGACTATTTTTCACATTCGTAACGTTTTGGAAAACTCACTATCAGTTGTCACCATGTATACATTCTATCCATTGGAATCCCTAGCGGACTCTGATTGTCACTAAACGCTGTGGTAACTTATACCTCAATTGTACTTCCTGTAAATAATGGTTACAACGTGAAAGTGCTTGCACGAATGCACTTGAGTGGTAGCAAAGATTCTTGAAGGAACAGATCATTGTATTACACAGATAAGTATATAGATTACTTATCCGAAAGTGTTGTCAAAAGGTGAAAATTGATCATTCGTATAATCATGAATCATTGGAATTAAAAAAGATGAAAGTCTAAAAAGTAGAACAGTTCGTTCACGCGTGTTTTCTTACATAAACGCCAGTGAATTTATGAGATTTCAAATAGATTTAGTAGTGTTCCTCACAGACCCAGATAAGGAAAGATCAAGGATGCTATGTACGGCATTGTTCAAGCTAGATGAATGCTAGATACATGTTAATCAGTTGAGTTAGTAGTGTCCCTCGGACTTTGTCATATATATCACTCTGCACCGATGTAAATCTCATTTTATAAGCCGTTCGGAGAAAACACCCGAAGATTCAATTAAAAACGAACGGAGACCAATTATTAGACATTTCCTGTTGTGAAGATACAAGTGTTAGTAATAACTGATAAATTCTGAATAAATATATACAGAATTACAACCAGTACATGTACACACAAGTATGTTAGACAGCGAACAGAATACAGTAAGTCGTGTTTCTTTCTTGCTCTGTATCAAAATTCATACCTTTGTATAAGTAAAATGTTTTGTTACGAACTAGATTCGTCGTCATCACTACTCATCTCGTCATCGTTAGGTTTTGGGATTTTTTCAGTTATTTGTTTGATTTTCTCGTTTACTTCGTCGTCTGTGAATTGTCTTGTTTCATTAACTTGCGATTGTTTCAATTTTCTTGCAATAATTGAGGCACTGTTGTAGTTTGTTTTTGCCGTGTTATAGCAAGTCAAAGCACGTTCATAATGTTGAAGTTTTATCTTTTCATCTGTAACCTCCTCATCTCCCAGTTTCATATCATCGTCACCATCTCGTACATTGTAGTTACCAATAGTATTATAGCTTTTTGCAATAGATATGATGTAAGAAAGAAAGTTGTTATTTAAGAGTTTCACTTCGTTATAAATGTCAATAAAGGTTGAGTCAGCTGAATGTATAATATCAATAACTGGCAGGGATAACATTTGTTCTTTTAATTCTCGAATTTTATTCCAGTACGATATAGCAGAACTGTAATCGTCAGCCTGAGTTAGTACGTGGCCAATACATAACAGTGAAGAATCATAATAACTGCCATGTAAAATTGGACCATTAGCTTCCATTTGTGTTTGATATAATAAGTCTTTGAAATACGTTTCTTTGTCTTTATCTTCAAATTCATTCATTAAAGCAACAAGCAAACGATAGATTAATATTCGATCAAAAATCGACCATTTCGGATCGATATTAATATTATAGACGAATGTTTTATGTTCATCATTAGCATAATAGTTAGTGTTTAATATTTCTAGAATGCTATAGTTAATTGCCGCATCAATTATCGGATTCTCTTCAACGCTCAACAACTCTCTGGCATTCATGTAATTTGTGATTGAATTCAAATAGTCTTCGTTTGCTCGGTTTTTTGCTCCAATCTTAAGATTAATCCACACACCATCATCATGAGATGATTCTTTATAATGTTCAATAATGTAATCTTGTCCTAGATCAGCTAATTTCTCACACAATTCATCTACTGACTGAATCAAACTAGCATCTGTGTCATATAATTTTGTGCATAAATAAAACGCCGATATATAATTTTGAACACCTTCACAAACATTATCAGTAATAATTGATAATTCCCCACATTTGATATATGACTTAATTAGTGACTCAAGTTTGTCGCTATCGGATGTAGTGGTTATTTCATTCATTTCCAAATGAGTGATTTTTTGAATAAGTAAATGTGGAATGTATTCCCATAAATAAGTGTTTGTCTCGGTGTCTATCGTCGGGGTGTCGATAAGACTTTTTTCTTCCAATTTTTCTGTTTGTTCTTTAATATGTGTCTTGTAATGTGATAATGCTTCTTCATAATCACCTAATTCGCAATAACCCTCTGCTAAATCAAACGAGGAGGTATTTGACACAGTGGTCGAAACTCTTTGGGTTTTATTGGTCATGTTTGACGTTATAGAATGGTTATCACCGTCGTCTTCTGTAGCCTCTTGTTCGAACGGTTTAAGAGTTTTAACTTTGTTCTGAATGATTTTTTCTATAGTAGCATCGCTCTGAAATTGTAACGCCAATGCATAACGTTGCTCAGCATCAGTGTTATAATTTTGATTTTTATTGTAAACGCCGAGTTTATAGTTTAGTAAAAATTTTCTTTGATTGTCATCATTATCGTTATTTTCACTTAATGCCATACCATATTGTTCTAGTACTTGGTCCGTGTCATTATACATTTCATAGGCTTTTCCGAGTTTTTCGTATATATAGGAAGTAAGATTTTCATCTGAACGTTGATACATAATCAATTTTAAATGAACATTGAGAGCTTTTTTGTACAAAAATGCGCTACTTGAGATCCTTTTTTTTCTATAAAGATCAGATTCAATTCGGATTCTCTAAGTCGCTGAAAATAAAGCAGGTCGAATACTACTAATATGCATCAAAACTCTTTTCATATCTG